AGGAGGAGGAGGAGAAGGAGGAGGAGGAGGAGATTGGATTTATACTCCGCCCTTCACTACCCGAAGGAGTCTCAGAGGGGCTTACAATCTCCTTTCCCTTCCCCTCCTCACAACAGACACCCTGTGAGGTAGGTGGGGCTGAGAGAGCTCTTTCAAGAACTGCTCGTGAGAGAACAGCTCTGAAAGAACTTGTGACTGACCCAAGGTCACACCCTCCAAACCTTTTCTTTCCAGGCTCTCAACAGCCAATCACGAGCCAGAACTTGAAAGCCGCGGCCAGTGACGAGGTGGAGACTCGGTCCATCGTCTACATCATCGAACAGCCCCCGAAGTTCGGCAGGTTGGTGAACGGCCAGGAGGGCGGCGATGGAGGGAACCTGAAGAACTTTACCCAGGAGGAGGTACCTGTGTTGTATTCAAGAGAGCTTTCCTACGCGGGCAACAGACTTGCACAGTGTTAAATGATTTGCAAAGTCACTTAGATAAATTACACTACCGTGCATAGTCTGCTGGAGGTTGGATCCTACTATGGAATCTTGCGTCATTTCATGTGCCGTGTTAACACTTGCGCTTTACTTCAGTTGTATTTTTTAGATTTCTTTGACGGCCCTAATCCCGTTGTATTGGAATACCCCCATCCTGCTGATTGTGTTGACTCACTCTGTGTCATCTGCCCGAGTCCGAGTGGGAAAGGCAGACTATAATGATGTAGAACCAAGCTCGAGTCCAAGGGCCCCTTTAAGAACAACAAAGTTTCATTCAAGGTATAAGCTTTTGTGTGCGTGCACACTTCTTTGGATACAGCGAGACAGAATTTCCTCAACCATTACATATAGGAATAGAGAGGGTGGGGTGGGGGGTTTAATTGCCAGGAAGAGCCAATTAGAATCAAGACAGAGAGAGAGAACCAAAACTGGAAATTACCAGTCCATACATATAAGCTAGGGGGTGAGCAGTAAATTATCATACAGCATAATGGAGATCTTTAACAGAATCAAGGATCATACAGGGATAATAAGCTTTTATTTTTTAATGAAGGATACATGATTCTACAATTTTGACATATTTGTTTCCTTCGCTGGTCTTCCCCGAGAATTGAACCCAAATGAATGGTAACCATATAAACTAATCTTATTATCCCTGTTGTTGTTGTTGTTCAGTCGCACAGTCGAGTCCGACTCTTCGTGACCCCATGGACCAGACCACGCCAGGCCTTCCTGTCTTCCGCCGTCCTCTGAAGTTGGCTCATGTTCGTTGCATCTATGACACTGTCTAACCATCTCATCCTTTGCCGTCCCCGTCTTCTTTGACCTTCAATTTTTCCCACCATCAGGGGAGATACAGGGATAGGGGAAAGACAAGGAAACAAAAGCAATAAGTCTTCTGCATATAAACCTTCTCCACTTATCGTTTCACATTACAAAAGGATAGACTGTGAAGTTCTAAAGCTTCATAAAGGCTTCTTCATACTATATTATTTAGAAGTTCATATCTTTATGTTTCTTTTTTATCCAGTCGTAAAAAGGAGTCCACAGTCCGACGAAATCTTCTTCCATTTGCCCTTTTAACATCAAAGTCAATGTGTCCATCCCTGTCTGATACTTGAATCTGTTAAACATCTCCATTATGCTGTAAGATAATTTACTGCTCACCCTCTAGCTTATATGTATGGACTGATCTTCCAGTTTTATTTCTCTCTCTGTCTTGATTCTAATTGACCCTTCCTGGCAGCTAAACTTCCCCCTATTTCAATATGTAATGATTGAGGAAATTCTTTTTCACTGTATCTGAAGAAGTGTGCAGGGACACAAAAGCTTATACCTTGGGCAAGGGGAACTTTGTCGGTCTTAAAGGTGCTACCGGACCCGAATTTTGTTTTGCTGCTTCAGACCAACATGGCTACCCACCTGAATCTATAAGTGATGTAAATCTTGTTGACCCCCCCCCCCAGATTGGCTCCAGGGAAATATAGGTACATTTGAGGGGCAACGATGTTAAACCATTTCCATCACAAGAGTCTGTTGGTCTTTCACCCCAAAATCTTGGCACGTTGGTTACTTTTTAAGTGGAAAGCCCTGGGGTCCTTTTGTAGAAAAAGAGGTGCAGGAGCTCATTTGCACAACTCATTTGCATAACTCATTTGCATATGCCACACCCCCTGAAAAAGGGCAGGCATGCAAGCATGTCTGGGGTCCCTAGCTGATCTTCTCCAGACGGGGAAGGGAAAGAAAGGCATTTAAATCCCCCCCACTTCCCCGAGTTTCTCCCCAAAAGTGGAGACGCTCAAGGAAAAAAGGAGGCACGTCTGCCTGCCTGCCCTTCCCTTCCCCAGCCAACCCAACGCCTGGACTTGTTAGTCCCGGAACGCCGTTCCAGGTCGTTCCCCCTCAAAATGACCCCTGGCCCGGAAGCCGATACAAAATCGGGAGGAACGAATGAAAAGGAACTGAAGCAAGTTTCAATTTCTGTTGATCGGCTTCTTCTTCTGTGTGCTGTGACCCAGGTGGATAACGGAGAGATCTTCTATCAGCACGAAATGCCCGACCAACCTTTCTGGCTGCTCGAAGATTCCCTTCACTTCCGGATTTCGTCTCCGTCCACCACCACGGACCCTTATATCCTCCGTCTCTCGGTCCCATTCGAAACCACCTGTCCCCAGCGCGCCACTCAGCTGTGGAGAAACAAAGGTAAAGAAAACCCAAGTTCGTACATCACACATCTGCAAGAAAGCTCCGTTTGTTCCTGGGGAGAAAGAGCCCGTGGCGTCCCCAAGAGAGGAGCAGATAAACTGTGCTGAAATACGAGGAATAGTTATTTATTTTACTCTTATCACAGTGAGCTCTGTTTAAACTGGCCAGCAATCCCATGAAGTATGTTTGGGTGATGGATAGAGAGAGAGAGAAATTGGCCCAGTATTAGCCCATGAGCTTCAGGGCAGAGTGGAGTTTTGAACCCAGCTCTCCCCGGTCCTTTATAATAAGGAGAGATATGGCGTTAAATACCATCTGACAATTAGTTTATATTGTTGCCAACAGATAGCTGTAGATCTAGATTTAAGCAAGGGAGTGTTCCAGATTGAATCCCAAGGTTGCTCAGTTAGCTGTATCTGGCACTCATTTAGCCATTGGTCTCGAATCGGAGTTTTGACTCCCGTAAGCTCATAAACTCAGAATCGCGTTGGTCTCTAAGGTGCCACTGGACCCAAATCGAGCTTTTTCCTGGTTGATTCTCGAATTTCTTTCTCGGTTGGGCTCTTCCTCCTTCTCTTCCACATCCTCCTTCTGCTTGTATAGAGTCAGACTACTGCTCCATCTTGCTTAGTGTTTTCTACTCTGGCGGTACCTGTCTAGGATTCCAGGTCTCCCCTTTCACTTGAGACTCCAGTTGAGTCTTCTTTTTTCCAGTCTTTTGTGTGTGTGGGGGGGTGTGTGCTTGCGTGCCTGGAAGTCATGGTGACTTTTGGTGACCCCTAGTGGTTCATGGACGTTTCAGAGAGGTGGCTTGATATTGCCTGCCTCTGCGTCCTGGCCGTGGTATTCCTTGGAGGCCTCCCTTCCAAGTACTTGCCAGGATAGCCCGGAGAGCCTAAGATTGTCTGGCAGCCACAAGTTCTAGCTCCTTTAGCGTGATGCACCACTAGGTGGTGAGCCAGACTTGTTTTTGAGGCAAGAGACGTTTCAGAGGTGGTTTGCCATTGTCCGCCTCTGTTTCATGGCCCTGGTATTCCTTGGAGGTCGCCCTTCCAAATGCTAGCCAAGGCCGACCCTCCTTAGCTCCCGAGATCTGACAAGATCAGGCTTGCCTGGGCTATTGAGGTCAGGGCGAGACCCAACTGATCTTGATAACTTCTGTATGTTTGCTCTCTTCACTGAGCCATAGCTCTTCAGAAAGGTGATCTCACGCGTGCGTATCTTTCTCTTTCAGGTCTCACAGTTCCAGAGGCCCAAAATGCGGTCATTGACACCTCTGTGTTGGACGCCTCTAACCTCCTCGCCAAAGAACCCGAGTTCAGGAGAGCGGAGTACGATGTGATATTCCTCGTTACGGAGCTACCCCATCATGGGAGCTTGTCCTTACCCGACGGGCCAGTCAATCGAAAGCATCCCTATTTCCTGCAATCCGACCTGACGGAAGGTGGTTTGGAGTATGCGCACCATGGGTCTAGTACCCTTGATGACCATTTCAGATTTGATGCTTGGCTCCGGCGTGTTGACGTGGGATCCCTTCAGCCTCCGCAGAAAGGAGAAGGACTCGTCCTTTCTGGAACATTCAATGTAACGGTCAGGGATACCAATGAGATGCCCCCTCAGCTGGTCAGCCAAGGAGGAACGCTACAGGTCCTCCACAATTCTCCCATGATGCTCTCTCAAGAACACTTGAACGCCATGGATCCTGACAGCTCCCCGGATGAAATCAACTACGAGGTCCTCCCTGGGTCTTCTGGTGGCTTTGTGGCAAGCGTACGTAATAAGCAAGTACCTCTAACCCAGTTTACCCAAGCAGATATCAACAACGGGCAGCTAATGTTCATTGCCAACGGGACTAACTCTCCTGGGACCTTGGACCTTTCCATCTCTGATGGACACAATCCGTCCATCTTCACCTCTCTGGAAGTCATGATTCTTCCAGCGACCACGTGGGCAACCAACCAGACACCCTTGGAGATAGCCCAGGAGGTAAATATGGCCTCATTATCCCAAGGTCACCTTCTAGGAGCTTCAGCCCAAGGAGGGCAAGACACTTTCTATAGACTTATCCGGGATCCGCAGTTTGGTCAACTCAGGGTCAATCAAAACCCGGCAAGAGACTTCTCGCATAAGCAGGTGGACAATGGGGAAGTGACTTTCACATTCACCGATTTCACCTCCCCCAAAGATGAGTTCCAGTTCATCGCAACATCAGGAGGAGTCAATATATCGGGGACAGTGAACGTAACAGTCAAGGCCTTGGTCAAAACTCAGGAGGACATCCTTTGGCCCAGGGGAGCCACCGTCGCACTTGACACCAGCGTCCTTGACGCGAGCGAGTTGGCCAACAAGACCAAGAGCATTCCGGTCTTCAAGATCCTCCGAGCTCCGCAAGATAGTCATTTTGTGAAAGTCCCGAGAGACAAGGGGGATCATCCCATCTCCATCGATGCCTTCAATCAGCATGACCTTGAGAGAGGGTTGGTGGCATTAGAAATCTGGGACGCAGAAGACTCGGGGACAGATCTGCAGCGAGATAGCTTCCAGTTCGAACTAGTGGCCGAGGGAGTGCCCCCCGCTATGGAGTCCGTGACGTACACCACGGAGGCCTTCAACGCCTCGGCGACATACAGAGCGACGCTGCTCCACGTGCCCGGTCTTCAAGACAACAGCCGCAGCCCGACCACCCAAAGCATCACACCTTCTTCCCAGACACTTACAAGCTGGCCACAAGGGACAGAGACCCCTGGGCATAGCTCCAGCAAGCCACCCACGCTTCCAACTGCACGGGCGGGCCATGGTGTAACGACCAGCGCTTCTCCGACAGAACGAGGCACCCTCCTCGGTTTCATCGAAGCCAACATGTTCAGCATCATCCTACCCATCTGCCTCATCCTCTTGCTGCTGGCCCTGATCCTGCCCTTGCTCTTCTACCTACACAAGCGTAACAAGACCGGCAAGCACAACGTCCAGGGGACGCCCCCCAAATACAAGAACGGGACCGTGGGGGACCAGGAGACCTTCCGCAAGACGGACCCTAACCAAGCCATTCCGTTGATGACCGTCAACACGCTGGAGGCCAAAGGGCCCACCTCTAAAGGACCAGGAGGGCAGCAGGATCCAGAACTGCTCCAGTATTGTAGGACATCCAACCCGGCTTTAAAAAACAGTCAGTACTGGGTCTGAGCACTGGAGTCAGGGACTCGGAATGTCTATCTTCAAATGGAGAAGCATCGTCTCGTGGACTTTCTAAGGGTCTTCTCACCTCCATCTTCTTTATCTTTGCCCTCCTTTTTGCCGAAATACATGAGAGTCCCTGGGATCCAATCAAGTCCCTGTGCGGGTATCAGTCTCTCTGGGTTATCTTGACTCGGTTTCCTCAAAGACTCTGGCTCGTCAGCAGGGAAATCTTCTGTAACGAAGCAAACGAGATTCGAACAAGGCTGTGTGTATGTGTGTGTGTGTGTGTGTGTGTGTGATTCCAAGGGAGTTCCAAAATGTGGTGTGGGGCGATGCTCCCTCTAAGCTATGGAGTCCTGTGAGCAAAAATTCTACTTTGTGAGCTACTGGCATGAAAGTTGCGAGTGAGGAACTGGCCACTGCGTAATTATTTTGGCTCTGGAGCCGTCCTTCCCGAGCTGAGACAAAAATGTGTGAGCCGGAGGCTAAAAAGCTGTGAGCCAGCTCACACTCACTCAGCTTAGAGGGAACACCGGTGTGGGGACCTGCTTCCTTGGCATCTCAGCTTTCCTCTCTTTAAAAAAAGAGAGAGCAAGAACGTCTACTCCTTCGGACTGCAGAGAAAGGCAAGAAAGTAGGCGAGCGATCCAAAATCTCAGAACCCAGAGAGGAGCCGAATTAAGATTTCGAGTGATTGGGGCAGGGAGAGGCTACCTCGGTGCCTTGGAAAGATTCCCCCATAACGAGCAAAGCCAGAATAACTGTTGCGGGACGTTGAACGTGGCAAAATAAAATGGGTTGACACAAGAGAATACAGACACATTTGCAATAAGATACGCAGGTCGCGGAACTCTGCTGTTCCGAGAGCAGGGTTTTAAGTAGCGCAGAGCCAACACTGCTTTTGGTCTTAAGCCATAGCAAACATGGGTGCGTCCTGGAGATGAGTAAAGCATGCCGTTCATGGGGCAGACTCGAAAAGCCTGGAGGAATACTTCCCCCCCGCCAAGCAAATATTTGGATATCTAAGCAATTAAATGTCAGGTGATGCAGGGGGCGGGGGCACCATTGTTACAACGTCAGTCGATGACAGCCCTGCATCATCGGTTGCAGTCCGCAAGAGGAGTTCCCTGCCTGTCAAGTTTTCCACAGGTCTTTCCCAAAATCTGGAGGATTAAAAGCCATTCGAACTGATTAACTGGTTTCCCTAAGGCTGAGTCCAGTGGCAGCTTCAAGACCAACAAAGTTTTACTCAAAGTATAGTCAGATCATGAGAGGGAGGCCGGGAAGGGTTGCTTCAGGGCTTAGTTCTCGTGGCCAGTTTGGTGTCGTGGTTAAGTGAGCGGACTCTGATCTGGGAGAACCGGGTTTGATTCCCCACTCCTCCACTTGCACCTGCTGGATGACCTTGGGCAAGCTGTAGTTCTGATAAGAGCTGTCCTTGAAAAAGAGCAGTTTCTGTCAAGAGCTCTCTCAGCCCCACCGACCTCACAGGGTGTCTGTTGTGGGGAGGGGAAGGGAAAGGAGACTGTAAGCCACTCTGAGACGCCTTTGGGTAGTGAAGGGTGGGGTATAAATCCAATATCTTTTCTTCTTCTTCTTCCACACCCAGGGAAATGCTGATCACCACTTTGGGGTCAGGAAGGAATTTTTCTCCAGGCCAGTTTGGCCAGGGATCCTGGAGATTTTTTGCCATCTTCTGGGCATGGAACAAGGGCTACTGGGGGTGTGGGGAGTATTTGTGAATTCCCTGCATTATGCAGGGAGTTGGACCAGATGACCCTGGAGGTCCCTTCCAACTCTATGATTCTGTGATTCTGAGCATTCGTGTGAAAGCACACTCCTTCAGTTACAGTGAACCAGAATTTTCTCAACCATTCCATATAGAAAGAGAGGGGGGAGGGGAATTACTTATGCCTCTTGATTCTAACTAGCCCTTCCGGGCAACTAACGCCCCCCTCCACCCTCTCTTTTCCTATATGTAATGGTTGAGGAAATTCTGCTTCACTGTATCTGAGGAAGTGTGCGTGCCCACGAAAGCTTGCACCCAGAATGAAACTTTGTTGGTCCTCAAGGCGCCGCTGTACTCGAACTCTGCTCGCTTCAGACCAACACGGCTGCCCCACCCGAATCTGGTTTTCCTCAGGCTAGTCAGTGTTTGCAAGAGACAACTGATTGGGGTGTGTGTGTGTAAGTACTTGCAACTCTGAAGCAGAACATGGAACTCGTTCATCCACAAGGCGGGACGAGAAACTGCTTTTTTTGCAAAATCCTTGGTTACCAAGAACCTATCTTTTTCTGAGACGGTCTTCCAACGTATTAAAACAAAGCCACCTCTCTGCAGCTGTATGACTTGACTGCACTTTCCAAACACTCAAGGAAAGGCCTGCTCAGGAGTAATGATCTACTCGCGAGCAAGGTCAGGGAGCCATGAAAGGGGCGTGGCTGGCAAGATGCTTATAAAAGACAGAGGGAGGGACTTGCCTGGCTTTCTTTGGGAGGGACTGGGGGGAGATTTAGTTCCTCTGGCTCTCCCCGGTTCTCCTCCATAGCTGCTCTCCGGATCCTTCCTTTCCAGTTCTCTCTTCAAGGCAGGCCTTCGTTAAGTCCTCCCTCCGTTTGCTAGTAATATGCAGTTAGGGTCTTGAGTCACGCAGCTGACGCAGGTTCCTTTCTGCTCTTGGGAAGTCCTCTAGATCTTATCACATACTTCTGCCCTCTAAGTGCACAAAGGGGGAGCTCGCCAGTGCGCCCTCTAAGCTGTGGAGCATTGTGAGCAAAAATCCAACTCCGTGAGCGACTGGCGTGAAAGTTGTGAGCGAGCGACTTGGCTGCTGCATCAACCAGTCTGCTCTGGAACAATGCTCCCTCTAAGCTATGGAGTCTTGTGCGCAAAAATTCTACTTTGTGAGCTACTGGCATTAAAGTTGTGAGCAGGTGATGTGGCTACTGCATAAATCGGTTTGCTCTGGAGCCCCATCCTTCCTGGGCGAAGACAAAAATGTGTGAGCCAGAGGCTCAAAAACCGTGAGCTAGCTCACACTAACTCAGCTTAGAGGGAACATTGCGAGTCTGGAACCAATTTGGCTGCTGCATCAATCAGTCTGCTCTGGAACCCTCCTTCCTGAGCGGAGACAGAAATGTGTGCGCCGGAGGCTGAAGAACTGTGGGCTAGCTCACCCTAGCTCAGCTGAGAGGGAACACTGGCTCGTTACACTGAATGAAGGAGGGTTGCTGACAATGCTCCCTCTAAGCTGTGGAGTTTTGTGAGCAAAAAATCCCACTTTGTGAGCTCCTGGCGTTAAAGTTGTGAGCGAGCCATTTGGCTGCTGCATAAATGAGTTTGCTCTGGAGCCCTCCTTCCCGGGCTAAGGCAAAAACGTGTGAGCTGGAGGCTAAAGAACTGTGAGCTGGCTCAGATTAACGCAGTTTAGAAGGAACACTGGTTGCCAATCTCCATGTGGCACCTGGAGATCTCATGCTATTGCAGCTGATACCCGGACAATCAAGATCAGTAATCCTGGAGGAAATGGCTGCATTGAAGGGTGGACTCTATGACTCTCCCCTCTCCAAACTCTGCCCTCTCCAAGCCCCACCTCCCCAAAAAATTTTCAGGGATTTCCCAACACTATGAATTACTGTAGACTCAGTTGCTGGATAGGCTGTAGGTCCGTGGAAAGAGCGTGGGAGGACGTAAGACAGGGAGAGCGAGGAAAGGACTTGTTCAAATAGCCATAACAGTGTTTAAAGTTATAATTTGTGTTGTTGGGGTTTTTTGTTTTTTAAAAAGAATTTAAATGTCTATCCGACGTTGCTTCACACTGCTTGGGTAATTTATAGCAAGGTGGCCAACTTTGTCAAAAGAGTGTTGAAATAAAACAAGCTATTTTTAAAGCTTCGTGTCGAAACTTCCTGGCCGGGGCCGGCTAAGATGGGTTTAAGGTAATGGTGTAAAATGGTGTGGTTGGGGGGAGGGGTCCTTCTTCCAGTTATGTTCCTCCCTTAGATACAAAGATAGGAAGAAGAAGAAAAGATAGGATGTATACCCTTCCCTTCACTGCCCAAAGGAGTTTCAGAGCGGCTTACAAACTCCTTTCCCTCCCCCTCCCCATAAGAGACACCCTGGGAGGTAGGTGGGGCTGAGAGAGCTCTGACAGAACTGCCCTTGAGAGAACAGCTCTGAAAAAACTTGTCGCTGACACAAGGTCACGCCAGCAGCTGCATTTGGAGGCGTGGGGAATCAAACCCGGTTCTCCCAGATTACAGTCCGTGCTACATCAAACTAGCTCTCAAGGAAGCAATATCAGATAATGAAGAATGCCTCTGAGTGCATACAGAGGGCCTTTCCCTCGCTGCCGTCCAACTGCCATCTGTTCTTACACACTTAGGATTCGGAAGCAGATCTCTTTTTCAATAATATTAATTCCTCAGTCTTTGTGGCACCGTTATTTTGTTCTGACCCTCACAACAGCCCCATAGGGTAGGACAAGGTTCTTAAGGTTCTTAAGGTACAGAAGTATTGTTATCCCCATAGTACTGTGTAGTACCCTTTCCTCCTGAGGACTGGAAGGTAGCTAATATCACTCCCATCTTTAAAAAGGGTTCCAGAGGAGATCTGGGAAATTACAGGCCAGTCAGTCTGACGTCGATACCGGGTAAATTGGTGGAAACTGTTATTAAGGAAAGAATTAGTAAGCACATTGATGAACAAAAACTATTGAGGCAGACTCAGCATGGGTTCTGTAAGGGAAGATCTTGTCTCACTAACCTGTTAGTGTTCTTTGAGGGGGTGAGCAAACATGTGGACAAGGGGGACCCAATAAATATTGTTTACCTTGACTTCCAGAAAGCTTTTGATAAAGTTCCTCATCAAAGGCTCCTAAGTAAGCTCAAAAATCACGGGATAAAAGGGCAAGTCCTTTTGTGGATCAAAAACTGGCTAATTAATAGGAAACAAAGTGAGTATAAATGGGACATTTTCTCATTGGAGGGTGGTAAGCAGTGGAGTACCGCAGGGATCAGTACTTGGTCCGATACTTTTTAACTTGTTCATTAATGATTTGGAGTTGGAAGTAAGCAGTGAAGTGGCTAAATTTGGGGATGATACAAAGTTGTTCAG